GGTGTTTAAGGAGAGGCTGGATGTGGCACTTAGTGCCGTGGTCTGGCCGATGTGGTGGTGTTGGGTCATAGGCTGGACTTAGTCATCTCAGAGGTCTTTTCCAGCCTCAACAGTTCTGTGATTCTGTGACTCAAGACCTGTTGCTGCTGCAGCATCTTCACAAAAGCAACTGAAGTCCTGTATCAAGTCAGTCAGGAAACTTCAGTGCACACTTAAAACAGTAAAGTTGCAGGGATGCCATGATATGTTTGATTGGCTGTTTCCATCACCCCTCACCTCGTTCACTTCTTAGGCTTTGATGCTGAAAAGTAAAAAGAAAATGTTGCACATAAAGTATTTTGCATCTACACAGATTGCATAAAGACAGGCATTTGCAGTGCTGGGATTTTAGATTGCAAATACTGTGTTTTGCCAGTGACCTCATTTATCTGCGCAGTGCATCGGTCATCCCGTAACAAGGACAGGACACAGTGAATCGTGTTGTTGGGTCATGGTGGTGGTGTGGTTGTTTTGAGCCCTGTGAATGTACCACGAGGCATGAACGTGTTCACGTTAGTGTGTCCAAGCCTAAGGTACTAAGCCTTTGTATATAATGAAAATAATAGATAGCCACATGCAAATGCACTTTCAAGGTTCTAAAAATTCCGTAACGTGCATTTCTGTTTTGCAGGTGTTTCGGAAGAGATGCATGCACAAGAAATATTGGTTTGGACAAAGTCGGAGTGAAAATCAATGAAAAGTAAGGACAGTGTCTGTATAACTTTGAGGTGTCAGTTACTGTTGCAATGGTACCGGTGCACAGATCTTCAAAAGCTTTGAGGAAAAATTTGTTTCCTCTTTACATGCCCTGGAGAGGAGACTATGTATCAGATTCTTGCATTTTTCTCCCTTGGCAGGGCCAAGTGTGCTTTTTTGGTACTGAAATGTGGATTCCTAAATGCTGTGAGTCAAAAGTGTCTGTTCCATTCTGTCTAGGTTCACAGGCTGGTCTTGGTTTCTTCCAGTGACAGAGCTTTCTAGGATCTGTCAGTTGTTCCTTGTACTTGCTTATTCCCATCTCCTTGTTTTAATCTCTATGACCTCTTGGGGCAGAGATCTATTTGTTCGTACAGACTTTTAGTGTGATGGGTTTTGTGTTGTAATGTAAATGCTGCTATATGTTTGTTTTGAAATATAAGGTCAAAGTAGCATTCTTTAAAGTCACAGTTGGAGTTGGTGCTGTGTTTTAGGCTTTGGTGGAGCAGTTTATTTCTTGCCTTGGGAACAATCTGTGTCCTGTAGAGTAGCATTGCACGTTTAATGTAGTGAAGTCATTGCACCAGGGAGTGGAGCTATCGGTAACATTTTCAGTATTGGTAACTAAAACATTTTCTAGGCATGTGGTGCCTAGACAATCTTCTCTTTGAAGAAAAGCCACAGGACTATGAGCTTGACTTGATAGTCTATGGAAAAACGGTGCAGAGGGCAGTTTATATATGAACACAGTGACTGATGTTGCTGAAAGGAGCTGCTATGATGTTCTAGATAAGGGGGGAAATTTTTGTCGACTCAGAATTGGCAGACCTACATTGTCTTGTTCAACAGTACACGTCTTTCTGAAATCAAGACACTTGTTACTAGCTTAGCAGAATGAACTATAAAATCATTATCATAAACTGTGTCTTTATTAACAAGAGCAAACTTGAGAAAGTTGGATTTTAATATGGGAATCACTGCTGGTCCTTCAAATAACTGTGTGACCGTTTCTGCACTTGTCTGATTAGATTTCCCTGATACATGTGTTTCCTGCAGTGATTACTGCACTATCTAATTTATTAATGAAGTTGGAAATATTAATAATTAAAACCTTCCATTAGCTCAGTACACTTGTAACTAAAAAGCTTGCTGGCTGTCCCTTAAGTAGGGTGCCTAACGGTTTGACCTGTCTCGGTGTAGAAGCCTGGAGGGTTAGTTTGTAGAAACTAGCAGCTTCCGCTGCTGGACTAGAATTTCAGTAGTGGAGAAATTCTTTCGTCCTACAGCTTGAGTGGGAGAATGTCTCCTCCTGTAATTCCTCAAGGTTGCCAATACATAGCTCAGCTAGTAGTAGAAAGTGTTTGAGGAAAGGATTTATACCTCACCAAAGAATTAATTCAGGAGGTGAATTGCAACTTCACGGGCTACCTCTGTATCCCATGTGTAAATTCTTGTAGTTTTGGACAAATTTGCCCTCTGCTCTACTTCAGATTCTTGCCTGTGATTGTAAGATTTTGAATATGACTTCTTTGCCTCATACTTCAAGTATGTGTCTTTCTCTTGAAGCTAAAGGGCTTAACTCCTGCAAAGTTATTTACGCCTCCAGTCTTCACAGCAGAACACTTAGAACTTTTTTCTTGCTAATTCAAATTACAGAACAGGAAAAATTCCTGTCAACGATGAGGAGCAAACAAACGTGCCATATATCTACGCTGTTGGGGATATACTGCAGGACAAACTGGAACTCACACCAGTGGCAATCCAGGCAGGAAGACTATTAGTTCGAAGGCTTTATGCTGGGGCAACCAGTAAGGTAAGGAGCCAGTTATCATGAAATACTGTCATTGGTCTACTTTTAAGTACAGAGTGCAAGTCTGCTTGTTTGTGAAAACTCAGCAGGCTTTTAGAGATTTGATAATGGCTGTAATTTTTGCCTTGCAAAGATATTACTGCAGATATGTTCTGCTAATCGTGTAGGATGAAATGAATACCTTGTGGATTAAGCAGTAGTCCTTTTTTCTTATTAAGAGGTTTTATTTTTTCTCTCAGAGTATAAAGATAGTAAAATTAACTGAGATCATTTAACTTGTTTTTAACTCTATCGCTTTCCCTAAAAGTCAGCAGTCATTCCTGTCTAATTAAGTGTTTTAACTCTAATTCATAGGCAGTTTACTAAACCTACCTGTGATCCCTAAATAGAGTATAATAGGCGTTTATGATGCTCTTCATTTTCAATGTTATTTCCACTAACGTTTTCACTTCTTATCCATATGTTTTCAATGTAATACATAGTTCTGCTTATAAACCAATATGGACACAAAGGAAGATCAAATGTATTGATAAGTCAGCAGGTATTTATGCCTAGAAGTTGAATTTTTCAATTCAGTGTTTACTTTTTTATAGTAGTGCAATTGTAGCTTTCAGTCAAGTTACATTCGTCCAAATAGGAGTAACATTTACACCTTATCTTTAAGTCAGGAGAAGGATGTTTTTAAAGAACTGGTATCCAAGCTCCACTGATGTGGGTGCTTATCTCACCTTCATAACCATAGGGCGTGAGCATAAAGGCTTTTCTTTTTTAGAATCTGCTGTATTCATATCAAGTTCAGCTGTCAGCCAGATTTAGAGCTTGATTGAGTTGTTTATTTTAGGTTGGCAGGTATTGCAGTAACAGAATCCAGAATCAGTGTGCATAATGCTGTTACACGAGCCAGGCAAAGTTTAAGAAAGCCATAGCTGGAGCCACATTGTTTTTTTCTTGCTGCAATGCTATGGATATGTCTTAATTTACATTTCAGGCCAGATAATTGTCTCAAGGTAGGAAAATCCTTATGCTGCCAAAGAAAGCATCATGTCTTTCAGTGAATCCAAGAAATGAGTAACTCGTTAGATGAAAACCTGGCTTACATTGCTGCCATAACAAATCCAGGAAGAGAGATTGTATGAAACATAATGCAGTGTTATGCATAGGTGGGGAAAGAATAGTAAGCAGCATCTTAGTTGATCCTCAGTCACAAAGGAGATCAATTAGAGTAGAAATCCATAGAAATTTAATAGACCTGACCAGCCTGCTAGTCTGCTGTGACAGAATGACTAATCAAGTGGATATGGGGAGCGCAGTGGGTGTTGTTTACTTGGACTTCAAGGCTCTTTACACTGTCTTCTGTAACATTCTCGTAGACAGACTGATGAAGTACAGGCTGGGCAAGTGGACCGTGAGGTGGGTTGGAAACTGGCTGAACTGCCCAGTTTAAAGGGCTGTGACCAACATTACAAAGACCAGCTGAAGGCTAGTCACTAGTGGTTTGCCATCGGCCTGGATGCTTAGTCCAGTACTATTTAACATCTTCATAAATAATCTGGATGATGTGGCAGAGCGAACCCTCAGCAAGTTTGCAGGTGATGCAAACCCAGGGGAAGTGACTGATGCACCCGGTGCTGGTGCTGTCACTCAGAGGGACTTTGTCAGGCTGGAGAAGTGGGCTGACAGGAGCCTCACGCAGAGTTCAGCAAGGAGAAGCGCAGAGTCCTGTGCCTGGGGAGGTGTAACCCCATGCACCAGCGCAGGATGGGGAGCCCCAAGCTGGAAAGCAGCTGTGCAGAGAAAGCCTAGCGGGTGTGGAGGACAAGTTGTTGGTGAGCCAGCAACGTACCCTCATGACAGAGAAGGACAGTGACATCCTGGGCTCCATCTTCCAGATGCAACCTGGCAGAGCATTGCCAGCAGGTGGAGGGAAGCAGCCTTTTCCTTTACATTTGGCTCTGGTGAGACAGGTTTGGATTTTCTGTCCAGTTTTGGGCTCCCCTGTGCAAGAAGGACAGGGTAATTCCAGCAAAGGGCCATGACTGTTATTAAGGAACTGGAGCATCTGACACCTGAGGAGGAGCTGAGACAGCTCAGAATTTTTATACCCTGAAGAAGAGTTTGGAGTGCTCTTATATCAATGTATCTTTATACCTGATAGTAGAGAGTAAAGAAGATGGAGCCAGACTCTTTTCAGTGCTATAAATTGCAAGGAGAAGAGGCAATGGAAACACAGGAAAATTCCATTTAAACATAAGAAGCTTCTTCACAGTGAGGGTTGCCCGGAGGTTGCCTGGAGAGGGAACCTCTAGAATCCTCTAGAGATCCAGTGAAGTCAGGGGGTCAGTGTTTTCCTCTCATGGTGTATGACTGAGCACATAGTATGACCTCTAATTCTAGCCGTCCCCACAAATGGCTGTATTTCGTATCTTTGGTTCTTTGGCATTGCCTAGGCCACAGTCGACAAAAGAGGTGATAGTGGTGTCTTTGCAGCATCTCCAGCTAAAAATACCACGCTCTGTGGAAGCAGTCAGTCTACTTTCTAGCTCCAGTTTGACCTGTGATCTAGTGATAACATTTTTAAAACAAATCACTGAATAACCTCTTTCTCGTAATCTATGCATACTAATGTCACTGTGGTTTTAAGCTGTCTTTCTTTTCTTGCTCTAGTTAGCACCTCTGAGAGGGACTAAACCAAAACTGTAGCTTAATTTAAAACAAATAATAAGAAAAAAAGTAGCTTTCAGAATTACAAATATCCAACTTTTCTTCTGATTTTTCAGATTGCTGAATTTTTACCTAGTGTGCTGATTTTATTACTGTTTTTATACTGTGTGGTTTTATTGTTGGATTTTTTTGTTTGTTTTAAATCCACATAGTGTGACTATGTGAATGTTCCAACTACTGTATTCACTCCTTTGGAGTATGGAGCCTGTGGGTATTCTGAAGAGACTGCAGTGGAGAAGTTTGGGGAGGAAAACATTGAGGTAAGTGCCTTAGTTTCATCTCGATTTTAAGTTCCCAATTTGTAACTTCAAGTAATGCTAAGAGTCAATTAAAACAGCATTCTGTGTTCTGGTATTAGGGCAGGAGGTGACTAGACACATTTTTGTCTTTCTCAGCAGTTCCTAGACATGTTGTCAAAATAGTCCTCAATTCCAGTAGTTCTAGTTGCAAATATGCTCTATTTTTGGCAAATGGGGCTTGAAGGTGAAATATTTGGTGGGGGGAAAAAGAAAAAGGTTTCTTTGTGTCTGCAGATACTTCAACATAAAGTGGATTGCATGTTGGAAGAAGTACATTGATTTTTATGTCAAAGTGCCTTTGGTAGCACAGTGTGGCAAATCCCTTGCTGTAGTGATTTTTAATTCATAAAGGCCAATGTTGTTATGCTCATTTTTCCTATTTATTTTGACTCTGTGAGGAGGTATGGTATGTGCTCAGTTTTACTCACATGAGAGATCCCTTTTCATTCACTGGGATTGCTGGTCAATAGTGAAATTAGACGTATGTAAGCACTTAGTGCCTAAGGCTGTTCTTACCAAATACTGTACGGAACACATTACAGAAAGTGTGAGGGGAGGGAGTGTGACAATAAACTGAACTTTTCTGTCCCATGAAGGTCATCCAAGGAGCATTATTTGCTTATTATTATTTACTTATCTGCTTATTTCCCATAAGCAGATAAGTGGTGGTGCATGAGGTTGAGAGCTTGTCTGCTACGTGGTTTTGTCAGTTGCATTTTTTGACTTGGACTGTGGAGAAAAAAAGTAAATACAGCTTAAAATGGCAGTGTGTCAAGTACCATTAACGTGGCTGCAGGGCAGGGGTTTGAATTCTGTTCCTCCCGTAAAGTTTGTATATTCACAGTCAAATTTTTGTTGTTGAGTCAAATTCTTGCTGTTACATGTGTAACACTGGATCCGTCTTTGTGGAAAATGCGCTTTCTGTTTTCAAAGCCATTTTCGAAAATAGGCATCCAGAAGCATTTGTATTGTGGCTGAGTCCTAATTTGGTTTATTCTGGCCTCTCCATCGTGTCACCATATTGGCTTCTGCAAGCTTCGCTAGGATGATTGAATTGCATCTGTCATTCAGACTGTTGAATTTCCCTTCCAGATAGCAATGTTTATAAATGCTTTGTTACCCCATTAATATGGAAAAACATTGTACTGTCTCTCCTGGTTTGTGAAGGGATCTATTTTTACTAGAGCCGTGATCAATTAAAAACTACTTTCAAATGGTAATCAACCTGAAGGGTAACTTGTAATAGGGGCTCTTGAGAGTTCTAGGTAGAACCGGGCCTCCAAACACCCTGTCTTGTCCTGAGGTCTGTGCAGAACCTTGTCTGCAGTTAGGAATCTGTCCAGTGGTGTTGGCAGGGGCAGGCAGAAGAACGTAGGTTTGTTTGTTAGTTCGTTTTTTCCTGTTTTGGTTTGGTTTTTTTTGCTTGATTTTGTTCGGTTTTTTTAAATGTACTTTCCATTTTGCAGTGATGATCTAAGACAGCATGCAAACCCACCCCCTGATCTCTCCTAAACACGGCCCCTAAGGCTGTTTCTTCCCTTTTCCTATCATCCTGGGTAGACCCAGAGAAAGAGGGAAGCTTGCATTTTTCTAGTTTAATGAGAAGATGGTGAGCTGCGTGCTGGCAGTGTTGACACTTAATGCTGCTGCTTTTTTTAATTATTGGATGACACTAGTGCTTCTTTTGTAGAGGCTTCCTCCTTTGGCACTCATCAAGGGGAAACAGTCTCACCCCGATCTCAAGTATTCCAAATTCTACGTGCATGGCTGATTGCTAATGAAGAGTTACTAGTTAACAGTTCCTCCTTGGGCTGTGTCACAATTGTTGGAAGTTTTTACATGTGTGATTTCCAAAAGCAATTACAGTCAACAGTAAAGCTCCACCTTTGGAGGTAACCAAGGCAAATTTAAGATAATCTGCCAGTTTTTGGAAGATCATGCTCTCTGCTGTGAAATGACACAACTTTTTTTTTTTAATCTATTTTGTTTCTAGGTGTACCACAGTCATTTCTGGCCACTGGAATGGACCGTGCCATCCAGAGACAACAACAAATGCTATGCAAAGATAATTTGCAATATTCAAGATAATGTAAGTGGATCTTCCCTTCCAGGGAAAACAGTATCTATACATTCATCATAGGGACCATTGATATAAATAAGCTATAAATAAGCTATAAGCTATAAATAAGTTCTTTTTAAGAAATTAAAATTAATTAATTTTTTTCTACCTTTTGAAATGTAATAGATATTTATAGTCATACAATACCTTTTTTTATAGAAAAATGTCCCTTAGCAATGTCAGAATTTTACTATTGGTATACGATGCTTCTTCCATGTATGTTAAATAAGAAGCAGAGATCTCCAAGACTATTCACTAACTTTGAAATGTGAGTGAATGAATGAATGTAAAAATGATCAGAAGTTTATCTGTTTATCTTGTTTTCTCCTTCCTAAAATGGGATGTTCTTTTCTGGGAGATTCTTCTCTGTGAAATTGAGGTCGCTCAGAAACCATCACAATTTGTAACCTCTGCAAATCCACATGTGTCTATAAAACTCTTGAGCTGTTCTAACAGGATTAATGTATCTTGCCTGCACAAATCTCATTTAGGGTGATAATGTCAGGATTATCCTTGTGCTAGGATAAGATTTCCTGGCAATGGAAATGTACGGTACCTGCTGAAGCACAAGCAATATTACTAATTCGTTAAAAGGATTGGTATGCCCTACTCTGAGTGATCATCATCTGTTTAATAGAAAAAAGTTGATTTTAATAATATGAATTATTGTGAAGAATAATATGCCATTAAAATGTATTCATCTTAAGATAGTGGCATAGTGTTATCAATCCTAAAAAAAGATATCTATTTTACCTATTTCTTTTATCATTAGATACAGATTTATGTTCCTGCAGTCTTTCTAAGCATCACATCACCATTTTGTAGAATTTGCAGACCTGTCTGATTCTTCCCATCTCCTCTTTCTGGAGGAGTTTACACTAGCATGAAAGCTATTTTAGAACCCATGGATAGGCTCCAAATTCAAGGTTACTTAAGAAGATGAAAAGGCTTATTGATGATTTAAAGTGTTTCATCAATTTGTCTCCTTTTCTTGTCCTGAAAATTTGGAATGTGTTTGAACATCTAGGGGTAGAGTTGAAAGTTACTCTGGGTGTGAAAAATAGTTCAGTAACTATTTGTATCTGTAGTTACCTTGGTTTCGTGACTATGGTTTTATTTTTATGTATGTCCATGTTTTTAAACGAAGATAAGTATCATTCCATTTGAGTTATTACCTAATTATAGCTTCTCTTATTTAAATAAACCCCGTGGTACATCTCAATCCTCAGGCTTACTGAAAGAATAATAACCTCTCAGTGCACCGAGTCTCCATGCTCCCTTATACGTGATATTTGGCAGGAGGAGCAGATCACTTTTGATACCTAAACTGTGCTACGTCTATTCTCAGCAAAATCTGATTAATGCCCTGAAAGCCGCTAAAGCCCACTGCAGTTGGCTTTTGCTAAAGGAGACTTGCTTTTCTCAGAGAGAAAGCCAGCTTTTCTTTAACAAAAGCAGGTCAAGTCAGTACAGCTTGTTCCGCCGAGTGTTTGCTGAGGGTGTATGTGCAGTTTGACGTATTTTGCATTTGAACAGTAGTACAGATATGAGAGATGTGAAGCAGTAGTATCTTCCTCGTAGCTGAATGTCTTCCAGTTTGTTTTGCTAGGCTCTAGGTATTTTACAGAATCATAGAGCCATAGTGCTTGGAAGGGACCTCTGGAGATCATCTACTCCCACCCTCCTGCCAGAACAGCATCATCTAGAGCAGGTTGCACAGGGTGGTTTTGAAGGTCTCCAGAGAAGGAGACTCCACAACCTCTCTGGGCAGCCTGTGCCAGTGCTCTGGCACCCTCACAGTAAAGAAATTCCTCCCAGTGTTTAGTTGGATCTTCCTATGTTCAAGCTGGTGGCCGTTACCTCTTGTCATGTCACTGGGCACAACTGACAAAAGACTGGCCCCATCCTGCTGACACCCATCCTTTAAATATCTGTAAGCATTGAATATTATGAATATTACTGAATATTATGTATTATTGAATATTACCTCCCAATGACAGTGAACACTGCAACATGAGTAGTCATCAGTTCAATTATTAAGACATTTTTTCCCATATCTGGTTCACCAGAACTTTCACCCGTGGCCCTTTCCTGTAAGCAACTGCCTACCTGAGGGTTCTTCGGCAGATGTGCAACATGTAGCCACCCAGCACAAGCCCTGATGTTGCAAACCTTTGTGCAAGGTGCTCACCTGTACTTCGGCAAGCGATCTGTTGGAATGAGTGTGCTAGCGTGCCTGAAAAAATTGTAAATGCAAGTTTGCAATAAGGACATGCACAATAATCAAGCACAGACCACAGTGTGTGTTGAATTTGTGTGCTGTTGAACAGAGGGCTCCTGCACAGAACTTTGTGAAGAAGCTGATTCTTGAGTTCTTAGTTGAATCTTTTCAGAGAAAGAGCAAGATTACACCATCTCCCATCTGGTGGTGCTAATGATAGTTCACATTTGTGTGGTTACATGAATTTTTGGTATGTTTTGTGAGCTGATTAAATTATATACTTTGAGTAAGATAACCTTACCTGTTGTCTAAAGAGAACTGAATGCCTGACTGTGCTTGCGTTTGATTATCTTTGTTATTTAGGAGAGAGTAATTGGTTTCCATGTCCTTGGTCCAAATGCTGGAGAAGTCACCCAAGGGTTTGCAGCTGCTATTAAATGTGGAATGACAAAAGAACAGCTGGACAGCACCATAGGAATTCATCCCGTCTGTGCAGAGGTTTGTATATAAAGTCACCTCATAGCCCAGCTTTCAGAGCACTCTGCTGTAAGGTGTTGGAAATCTGACTAGTAAAGAGGTCTATTAAAGAAGTCTGACTGAGTGAAAGGAGGGAGGAGGGAAGGACAGCAAACGATCTCATTTTAATATTAAGAAATCTAACATTTAGGCTTAACCTGAGATGTGGCTTTTTTAGTATTAATTTATGAAATGTTTATGGTCTTCCCTCCAGTGCACTCTCTACTGGGAAGTATTGAATTTTCCTAGTACTCAAAGATCCATTTATGAAGGCTTCAGATACTATTTCTGCTAAAGTGATTGTCAAAGCTAATTACTTTTAGATATGTGTACTCAAATCAGGTTTATAAACTGGGCTGTGGAAGGGGCCTAGCTACATGACAATTTTTCTACTAAATTTTGCTGTTTTAAAGATCTCTCCTTTACTATGTAGGCCTTCAATTTTGAAGCACGAGGCCACATGAACCTTTCTTCTTGTGTCTGTCTTGCTGTTCCTCTTCAATGAAGCGCTTTATTTTCTCTAGTGGGTGGGGGACAGCCCCTCCCAGGTGTAAATCAGAGGCGCTCCACTGATTTTAGTAGCGTTAGGATGAATTTATATTAGTTGAGGATCCCTGCAAACTGTTAATGACCTTTGCAGATCTTTGTACAGAATTTCTGGTTTTACCTGCTTGTCTTAGCTGTGAAGTGTTGTAAGAGTGCAACAGGCTGCTGGTCTGCAGAAGCAAAGTCCGTTCCTCTTGCTTTGTGTTTCCAAAGTGATACAGTGTAAACAATTTAGTATGAACTTCATTAATGGAACGGACCACTGGCAATCAGAATCATCTTCAAAGAGTCCGCAATCCAGATTCTGGGTTTTTTTCTGTGCCATCATCTAAAGGGGTTCTTGGAAGCCCTTGAGAGAAGGGTAGCAGGTCCTTATCTTACCAAGGCGTCTGCAGAGGGGCATTCTTCAAACCTGTGAATTGAAGTGGGGTATTAGCATATGCAGTGTGAAGAGAGAATGATAGTCATAATTTATTCTGGACATCTGAGCTGCTAAAATTGAAACTGAATAGAATGATGATTAGATGTAATTTAGGGAGGTAATTTCAGATAATCATATTTGTTTGAGTGGGGGAGGAAGAAATTGGCTCGGGAAGCATACGCTATTTAAAAGCTCCGGGGAACAGCGATCATTTTTAGTGCTGGTCTTCAAAAGGTTTTTTTGTGCCTGTTACTTAATTTAATCTCTTAAGCAGTAAACAAAAATCAAAATGCAAGATGGTACTCTTTGATTAAAAAAACGCTTAAAAGTTGTTTGCAGTTTGTGGGGACTGCACGTATCTGGATGAATAGAATGACCGATACTATCGGCGTTATTTTTATCTTACATCCATGTAAAAGCTGAGGAAAATGAAGTGTGATCTGAGCGGGAGAGGGACGGTGTTGCAGGGTCAAATGCTGGCACCTTCACTGGCACTAGTCCTGGTTCATTGCTCAGAGTCTCCTGTGAAACATGGTGCTACTCAGCTTGAAGACAACTGTAAGATTGAGGGTCCCATTTCTCACTGCTTACAGATTTAGAGCCAGATGTCACTTCTCTTATTTGAGCAGCTTTTTATGAATTCTGAATGGAATTTCTTGCAAGGCAAAGTACAGGGAACTGTGAGCGTGGAGTTGGTAGGTCCTCGGCCTCACAGAGAATTGCCTCTCAACCTGGGCTGTGCTGCGCTGCCTGAAGTACGGGTGTGTATAAACACGCATCTGTGCTGGGGAGAAAGTGTCTTCTGAAAGCTGGGATGATTCTGAGAGTTTAACTAACGGTGGCTTTTCAGCCACTGAATCTAAGGTTTCCTCTTGAATAACTATCAAATTCTGTGAAAAAACCTCATGCTTCTAATAATGATCAAACGGCTGGCTTAGTAGACCTGAGGAACTGCCAGGTCCCTGCAGCCACTGGGACTGGGTGGCACACCCAGAGTTTGCAGGTGGGCAAAGAAGCAAGCAGGTAAGTTTTTTGTCTTTCAAAGTGAAATAATATCACTTGAACATTTTCCTGTGTTGTCAGTCTGTGAAGCAGAACTGAAGAGTTAGAAACCCTGTCTCAAGCCATGCACCACAGTATAAATATATCGCTGTTCTTCTGATTTCTCTATATGTTGGATAGGCATTTGTCTTCCTGGTTTCTGTGTAATGCTTTACATGCTTAAGGAAAGTGGAAGAGGTGTTTAATTGATTGATGGTGTTCTCTGAAGAGCTGGTAGCTGCCTTAATGCAGCAAAGCTTCTACTTAGAGAACTGTAGGGCTTTCAGACCACCGTTGTCGTTAGATACTTCAGTGTGATTTGCATAACTGCAATGTGTATATACTTTATTCTGTGCCAAGTTTATTCTTCCTGGGAGATGGCTTTGATGATAGCTAATTATTGCAACTTTGAGCCATTTAGATAGAAGTGGTTTTGATTTTCTTTTTTCCTCTCTATATAGTATCTGTACAAAACTGTGCAGTTATTTGCATAATAAAGTTCCAATGTTAAACAAGTTATCTTAGAATTTTTCTTCTTGAATTTTGATACCTTTTTAATTTTTCAATAACTGTTCTTGAATATGTCATCTTCTTTAATGTGACTCAAAAGCAGTGAAGATTGGAATTTTTCAAACGAGATTTTCTAAGTGTTTCTTAGTTATTGTCCAGAGGATACAGATCCAGAGATAATGCGTACATCAGCAGTCAGTTCCACATTTTTCTAATGTCTAAAAAGATACAGAGGCAAAATTTATGTTCTCTCCAAATGCTCTAGCCTTGGGTTAACTTCATTTTCCCAACAAAGGAGTTATCTTTGAGCCATAAAGACACTTATTCATTAGCTGTTTGGACTGGAGTTTATTATTGCTGAGCTCATTCCCACTGTAAAAACTGAAGAGCGTTAAGCCAAAAGGTGATATAAAGCCATGTGGGTTCCTTAATCCTTTCTTTTCCACTCTAAAAGGAAGACCATAAGGTAAATGAATCAGAGAACAAAGGGTATTTGTATGCATGTGCTCTGTTTAGTGGCAAGGATTTTAAATGTGTGGTTTTCATTATTTTATTACTTTAAGAAATGGCTGTGGTTTTGAGCGTTATGCCCAAGCAGAAAAAAAAATAATTAAATTTAGCCCTACTAAAAGTCTTCTTTTTTTCTTTCTCTTAAGGTATTCACCACCCTGTCAGTGACTAAGCGTTCCGGTGAAAGTACCCTTCTGTCTGGATGCTGAGGTTAAAGACCCCCATTCTTGTTATTGCCAGAGACTGACTTTCATCACAGTGCCTGACTCACGCAATTCAGAAGGAAGATTTTGGGAGAAGTCGGCAGAAACATCTGGATGCTCTCTCCTAACGGGGGCGTTCGGTCACCCCGAGGAGAGGAGCCCTGTGGGAGTTGGTCACTTTTGGTGATTGGCTGGCAATGAGCAACGCAATGGGAGCAACGACTGTGGAGCTGGTGCTTAGCAGAGCGTTTCACCAACGCTTTCATGAAGTCGTAGCCTGAAGCCAGCATCGTCTGGTGGGCAGTGACAGAACTGCTGACACAGCCGAACAACAACTGTTTAGCTTAGGGTTTATTCTGCTCTAGTTTCTTACCTGAACAAAGAACTTCCGAACTCAAGAGAATCACCACAAGTACAGACAATTGTGTGGTGCCCCTGTGCACTAAGTTACAGCACAGCAATTGCAGGGTCCCCTCACGAGGGTGCGTTTTGCCAGTTCGCGTGCCTGCGGAGAGGAAATCATACGTCCGTGTTTGAGGAAGAAGATAGCCTTGGGAAAAGGTTTAGTACCGTCTAGAGTAACGTATTTCTTGGCTTCCAAACTGACTCTGCTGTGACTTTTTATTTTAGAGAAACTTATTTGTGAAAATGTTCTCCTTAGTGAGAAGGGAAAACACTTTTTATTAAGGCCTTGTTATACAGGAAGTTGTGGTTGATATTTTTTTCCCCCTGAAAGTAACAACCGTGCCTATAACACAGATGTGATCTGATTAGCTTTGTCTTGCGGCCTGTGTGATTATAATTGATGCGATTTGAAACTGACAGAATTCCAATGTGGAATGAATTATACTTCGAAGAGCTCTGTGCAACTTTATTAAATTAGGACAAGTTCTCCCTTTCTAGGTGTGCTATCATACCCTGCACTGTTTCAGATCTAAATCGCCACTTTGAATACAGCAATATTGAGACTTTCTCTCAGATCAGTGGGCCTGGACAATCAAAAAAAACCCCCCACCAAACAACACCCCCCAAAACAAACAAGCCAACAAACCCCTCACCCAACCTCCAGAAACCAATAGTGGAAAATCTTCTGTGTAGATATGACCTGAAAATTGCATTTGCTTCCAAGTGTGCTCTGGTTCATATTTAATTAAGAAAACATTAATTGTAAAACAGAGGTTTCCATGGAAAATAACAAATTCTTGAATATTTCTCCTGTGTTGCATAAACTGCATGCATATTGGGGATTGGGGTTGGGCTGGCCACTGATTGCTGACAGATGCTCTCTAACCCCTTTCCCTCCCCAAAATGGGAAGGAAAAGGGAATGAGGCAGAGAGGCTTACAGACTGGAAAAGCTAGCTTTAATAAAACCATAGTAGTACTAACAAGGAAATAATTAAAATAATGAGCTCTATACAAAACCAATATTGAACCCAACTGCCCACCCAATAGCAATCGCCACTGGTGCTGCCTGGTTCTGTTTAGCTCAAACCAGGACACGGTTACCAAAAATTGTCAAAACGCCTCTTCATAACGGAAATCAGTGTGGGTTTCGTTTCCCTCTGTTTTAGCAAAAAGGTTCAGATTACATGGTTCTCAGGAGTGTAGTGGTGTGGTGTGAACAGGGGTAAATACTCCAGCCCTCTGGGCAGAATGCCTTATGCCTCAATTTCTACCTGGTAACAAATTCATGTATTTCTACTGAGATTTCTAGACTAGCGTTGTAAGTTATTTTTATAAACTGATGAATAGCTGAAGAATTTTTAAACGTGTTTTGTACAGTGTCAAGAACGATCTGTGGTGGTATTTTTCTGGCCAGTTTATTAAATAAATTGACTATTTGCACAAACAGATGCTCATTTTGATGCCTTTTCCAAGCAAAGAAACCAGGTGACAGCAAGACAGTTTGTTGGGGTTTTTTTAAGGCCAGAAGAGGGCACCTTGATAAACCCTGCAGTGATTCATTCCCATCCTTTGACTTTTGAAGGTAGTATTGCTCTGAGAACCAGGGTTTGGGGTTATTTTATGTGCTTTTTCTGTTCCACATTAAATATGTGAGAAGGATGTACTTGACAATAAGAAATTAATTAGGAAATGGACCGTGTGCTGTTTGCACTAGCTGCCACCTATATAATTTTGCAAACCCAGGGGTGCAGGTTCATGGGCTGTTTGGTAGTGTAGCTGCTCATTTTTAGGGACCGGCATAGCAGCATTTTCAAACAAGTCTGTAGGGAAGTCAGATCCTGGAGTGGAGGGAATAAACTGAAGCGTGAGCTTGGCTTTGCAAGGTCGGACCCACATTGTCTGTTCCTATGGGTCACATCATCATTAATAATGTGTGTTGTTCACTAGCAGCTTACAATTCAGTAGAGTTGGTGGTTCTAATTTTTTTTTTCTTTAAATTTAAAATTGTGTGGCTTTTTTTTTTGTAGGGTTTTTTCTTTTATTTCTCCAAAGGAAGACATTTTTAGGTATGTGTTTATGTGTCCTCTGCATGATGATAGAGGTGTATAGTATAACATCACGTGAGGCTATTTTGAATGCCAAAGCAAAGTATTTCATGTTTTTATCAAATTAAGCATCCATTGGGTAATGCATACTTTGGAAGCATGTGCTAGACAATTTAAGAAGTTAAATGGTTTTTATATTCAGCTTATATTAATTAGTTACAAACTTTTTTTTTTAAACTCTTACCAGCCTGTGAGAATCATCCTGAGATATTATAGACAGAAACGCAGACAGCAAAATTCACAGACTTTAGCAGGGAATTAACAGAGTTTCACTGACAGATCCAATAATGACCTTTTTTTTTTTTTTTATTTAAGCTCCCTCACCCCAGCCAATCATTCCCCTTTTATCTCCTCTCTCCTTGGTGTGGGTCCTTGGAGCAATTCTTACCTCCATTTAAGTCTTTTGCTTTCCAACTTGTTCCCTCCTTCAAGATTTCCTCCTGTCCACAGCCCCAGTGCAGGGGGCTCTCGGGTTCCAGAGCCGTACGATGGGGCAGGATTGGGTTCAGACGAGGTGGATCTCCCAAAGATGTCACAGGTGCTGGAGGTTTCACGGGCAGGTTGCTGGGCCTTGTGGGAAGTCCTGACGCTCGTGAAGCCCGCAAATGATTGTATCTCTGGCCGTGCCACCGCCACACATCCCTTGCTCTCCAAAGCCACCGTGGCAGCTGGTGGGTGGCTCTGGGAGAAGAGCCATGGCAGTGTGCTGCTGGTGCACGCCGTGCCAGTGCAAGAGTGTGAAGATGGGGCCAGATGGTTGAATCTTTTACATAAGACTTGATAGACTCCATTCAGGTCAAAGTACGAAATAAATGTTTGTGGTAAAATGGCAGCTCTGCTGAAAGTGAAGTTCCAGCAGTCCTTTCTCTTCGTCGACTGCCTTTTCTAATTGCTTGGTTGTCCTCTGCGTGGGATGGTGTGAGACTGTGTTCTTGCCAAGGCCTATTTGCCCTGTGGAAATAAATTAAACCTAAAAAAAGACAAGAAAGAAGGCACTGATGGATCTGCCACTCCACGAGCCTCCCTTCTGCATGCACAGAACTGCAAAAGGGTCCTGAAACATTTCCATCCTGGAGGCACCGTTGATGTCAGCGCTGGGTTTTGGTTTGGGGACTGCTGGCGGGGAGGTGGGAGTGGAGCAAAGGTTGGGCGTTGATCAGAGGGGCCGGGCAGGTGGTGTGTGGGGCCCTGGTGGGAGGTGGGAGGGGTGGTAGGTGGGGAAAGGCTTTAGTGACCAAGCTTGGAAAAAGCAAGGGGGACTCTGCAGTCACTGCTTTTCAGCTGGGCCCGTCCTCAGGGCTTGCGGGACCCTGCGGACTTGAACCACGCATTTTGCCAGCTGGAATGTTGTGACAGGGCCCAAAGGTGGCTCCAGAATGCACTTGCTGCTATAACGCAGAGGAACACCCTTCTCCCGCCCCGTACTGGGTGAAAGCTGCCCTTTTGGACACGAGGGACGGCATTATCCTGAGGGATGATGAGGTCTTGGGGCTGAGCACCTCAGGAGTGCTCTAGCCAGAGCTCTGCTGGGTTGCTGGGTTTTTTCTGTTAATGTTGGGGAAAAACTATACGTTTGTTTTCCTTTTATTTGCTAAATGCTCCTGACCCGTGTTCTATTGGACAGAATTTGACTTCACACGTACAGGTTTTTTTCATTCAATTGCCCCTTTTATTTCTCTGGTGTACTTTGTGCCTAACCTAGATTAAAACCGATTTACAAGAAGTGCCGGCAGAGACAAGTATATCCAGTATAAAGAAGCAGCTGGGGTTTAGCAGCAGATTTGTCACTATGTGCCCAGATCAGTTTCTGTTAAAGCCTAAAGGTGGGGATGGGCCTGTGGTGGCCACCTGCAGCAGGTGATGGGCCGAGCGGCAGAGGATGCTCCGTGGAGGGGTCTGGCCAGAGGGCATGGCCTCCGTGGCAGGATGAAGTCACTTGCAGGCACCTGATGGTCAGCCAACGTGGTGGGGCAGGTCAGGAGTCACCAGTGGTCCTCAGCAAGGCGAGTCATGCAGTTCTGCTAGGGGAAGGAAAGCCTTCCCTTTCTGTCCCGTTACATATTTCTCCTGTATGTCAGCTTAGTTTGTAATTTTAAGAGGTAAAAATTCTGTGGGAGAATTCCCTCAGACAAGTCTGTAACCTGGAAAATTTCTCAGCCTGGGGCTTGCTTTCAAAGCCAAATGGTGACACAGTTAGCCGAAAGATCTGATTTCCCTTTTAATGTCACTGTGATCTGACAGGCAATACCACCCTTGATGGCAAGTGCATGTGTGCCATGTGGTGTGACGCGAGGCAAACAAAAGCAATGACTTGCATTTGTGTTTGACCCAGAGTTGGTCTTCCTACCCTGGGGCTTCTGCCCCATTATATTTATGCATATATATATATATAGAGAGAGAGAGAGAGAGGGAGAGAGACTGTAGGATTTAGCAACTCAAGGTCGCTCTGGGCAAATTTTCCCTTGGATGACGCTTTGGGGTTGCTACACCGTGGAAGGAAGGAAGATCCCAGAGAAAGAAAGTACATGACAGAAGTGACTG